CTCACTGCACCTTACGCGTTTTTCATGTCAGTCTGGGGTGAGCATTATCTTAGATGAAGAAATTGTGAGACATTTTACTAACAGATCCATCACGATCTATCATGATCTAGCAACATTGTTTTTGGAGTCATGGAAAAGAATGAACACTTCTATTCAACATGATTGGGACATGATGGAATTCGAAAAGGAGGTAAATATCATTACTTCCTAGTTCATAATAACATTCCTAATGCTAACTAGAAAATACTTTGGGGGATTTACAAATAGGAATTACCAAGACCAGATTTTTACGGGACCGGTTGGTTTTTTATCCAATATTATTCGCTAATGTTTCGATCGCTTATTTACAGTATTTATTTATTGTTAAAGATCGTAGGATTTCACCAATCACACTAACGTGGGAAATCTATTTTCCATCTGAGAAGAGACTGAGGAAGTTCTTGATCAGTGGTACAATAGTAACTATAACTGTAAGCTTATGAATTATAATTTACCCATAGATTCCTGAAATTGATAAGTACTCACAGGAGATAAATATCAAAAAGTTATGTATCGTGATCTTCACAATAGGCGTGGTCATAGTGTTTCCTAAGATATGGGCTAATAGAATTAAGAACAATACGAAAGAAGAGAACGTCGGAATATATACGTCACTTGTCACTGCCACAGTGAGTTTGATTGTCATGTTGATAATTAGATATGTAAGTTACATTGCAATATGCGCTCTTGGGCTTCCAAAAATTCGATATTTAACTTTGTTTCTATCTCATCTTCAGTTATCCAAGAATCTGGCGTTATTTTTAACTAAGAAGGAAAATCATAAAACCGATACCAATTTTGAAGGTTTAATATTGTTCTTTTCCTAGAGATTTGAATTTCTAATATCTTGATCTAATAATTTCTGTCGTTTCAGATTCCTTTATTTTCAAATCATTCTTATTTGATTTCTTTAGTTCATACTCTTCTTTATTTTACATTTTGCTGATAAAACAACAAGTTAGCATTCTACGATTAATTCTTCGTGCTGAAATATTCAATATTAAACTACCTTCCTTTCGTTAATAGTACATAAAAAGATTTGTCGAAGATGCTCCCACAGGCTGTGAATATGATAATTGCTTGATAGAGCTTACGATTCAATTAGCCATCCTGTTAATCGGAAAGCAAGCATTTAGGCAGTTTAAAGATCTATTCGTACCGTAAGTGATATGTTATACTAAACCTTCGCTAGGCGACTTCTAATTTCATCCCGAATGGTTTGTCTAATTAGATGGGCAAAAATAAAATTTAACAAACAACGTTTGAAAATGGAACTCGAAAATTTGATTGATAAATACAAAAATTACGAAAAAACTATACCTCAATGGGTTAGTGATGGTTGCTTAGCTGAAGCTCCTGAAATTGGGATGTCCGAGTATGGAGACATGGGTGGGTATTAATAACATGAAATACATGCTATTTGTATTTATTGTTTTGACAAAAACTTATGATTTAATCTTTACATTGTCTCTCTAGTTGTTCAATTCGGATACATCGCATTGTTTGGACCCGCTTTTCCACTTGCGGCATTCTTCTCATGGATCAACAATGTAGTTGAAGTTAGAACCGATGCTTTTAAGGTAAATATCGATACAGTACCCCCCCCGCATTCTATTTCACTATTTCACTTCAACTTGTGAATCTCTTCTCTTGCCCAGTATATAAAAACATCACAGAGACCGGTGGCTTTTCAAACCCAAGATATTGGGATGTGGGAATACGTTTTACATGTTCTATCATCACTTGGTGTATTAACGAATGCTATAATGATAGCGTTTTATTCAAACTGGGTGCAGGCACAATTTCAAAAGTACACAGGTGATAATGATAACTTGTTGTTAATAGCTAGACTTGGATTCATTCTTGTATTTGAGGTATGTAATTCATAAAAATTCTTATTTTTTTTTTCTTTTGAGCTTGTTCCAGATTCATTTTTACATCACATATATCTATGTTCCATTGGAATAGCATATGGTGTTCATTGTTAAATTTATAGTCGCATACCTTGTACCAAACCGATCTAGAAGGTTAAAGGAAGCAATTGAAAGAGAAAAGTACCTTTCCAATGTCAA